GGGGGTGGGGGGGGGGGGAGAGACCCCGCCGGCCTCCCCCTGCCCTCGCCTGGGCGCCGGGCCCTGCCCACCTGAAGTTGCAACAGCCGGTTATAAAACTCGCTGGGTTTTGTAACCAGCCAGCCGGGCGCTGCCCAATGAGCGGCCGCGGCGGGGGGGATCACATGGCCCGCTTTTATATAACTCTTTTGCCGAGAGGCGCTGCCTGGCGGAGGAGGTGTGCGCGTTGGGCTGGAGGCGCCGGCCGGGATGGGGGTGCCGCGGCGGGCGTGGCGCAGCAGCGTGGCGGAGACCGAGACGCGGCGGGGCTCCTTCCAGCCAGCCTGGCCGGGCTGGTCCGGCAACTTCCGCGGCGTCCCCGCCCTCTCGAGGCCATGAGCTCGCCGCGGCAGGAGGAGGAGCCCGCGTTGCCGGCACCCAGGATGCGGCCGCCCGAGTGGCAGGGGCTGCTCCAACAGGCCGACGCGCTGGCCCACGGCGGGAAGCTGCCCGAGGCGCTGCGGCTCTACCAGCTGGCTTCCCGCCACCGGCAGCTGCGGGCCGAGCAACTGGACGAGCTGGTGGCCTGCCTGGCGCGCAACGTGCGCAGCAAGGAAGGCAGCAGCGCCGCCTGGCCCCCGTCGGCCCTTCGCCGGGGCTGGGAGGTCTTCGGGTGCCACAAGTGCCAGGGCTTCCTCTACGAGCCCGTCTCGCTGCTCTGCGGGCACACCTTCTGCAAGCGCTGCCTGGAGCGGGACCGCCAGCCGGCCGTGTGCGGCTTGTGCCGGGAGCGGGAGGGCGACGGCGGGGCGCGGCGGCTGCGGGTCAATGTCATCCTGAGCAACGTGTTGGCCAAGTGGTTCCCTCGCCAGGTGAAGGCGTCGCAGCTCCGCCACGAAGGGAACCGCTTGTATAAGGAGAAGAAGCCGCAAGCGGCCCTTCAGAAATACAACGAAGCCGTCAGCTTAGGTAATTTATTACCACCAAAGCTCAGCCTGATTCGGAGCAGCGCCAGGCGATTGCCGGGCGCCTTCGCCACGGTCGCTGCAGGGACCCGGCGGTTCACACGTGCAGTCTTTCCGGTTTCCTGACTCGGAGAAGAATTAGCGCTCTTCGCTGTGGCCGAGAAGGGAGACCCTGGCTGGAAACTTTTTAGACTTTTCCCAGCCATGCAGAGATAAGCGTTGCTCTTTTCCTTAGCTGTTTCTCCTCTACGATGCAGAAACTTTTCAGATGAGATTTTGCTATTTGGCAGATGCTGCTTCGTCTTGTTTTTTAAGAGGCGGGTGTGGGACTTTACAGCAGGGCAACTTAATTAAAAGGTCTAGAGCAGACTAAACAAGAGTCTTGTGGCGGCTTGTTTGGTGGATTCGGATTCATGCTAGAATAGAAATGTTCGTTTTTAATGAGCCACAGGATTCCTGGGTAGTTAATCGCAAGGCAGAGAAATCCTTTACAGTTGATACAGTAACTGCACTGCACTTTTTTGGGTCTAGTATGAAGTAAAGCTGCTTGTAAAATGGTTTGTTTTATTTGACTTTATGGTATTTTTATTCCTAAACTGCCTCAAGCAGGGCTCTGGAAAGGCAGCATATAAACACCCTACATATTCAGTAGCTGGGAGGAGGGCTCTGGAAAGGCAGCATATTTTAAACACCCTACATATTCAGTAGCTGGGAAAAGAGGCTTTCCTCACTCCTTGGCTATCCAAGTAGTACTTGATACTGTATTATCTTGGGTAGCCAAGCTGGTTGCAAGTGAGATTGGTTGTCTATAGGGGCTGTCTGTTTCTTTGGTTAGTAAAGACTTTAAAAAGTGTTTGTGTTGCTGGGATGCTGATCAGATGAATGGACCTGATGGATTTCCATCCATGGGTTCATTTTGTTGGTTTCCAGCAACCTTAGATTGATAGCCAGCCACTACGTCTGCAGCTAGACCCACACAACTGCCTTTTCTTTATGAGTGAGGCAAACGAGCCAGTGGAGTGATTAATCCATCAGATACCATCTTCTCCCCACCATGAAACGTGTGCCCTTTTTCTTGAACTTTCACAGAAATGTTTGTTTTAGTCCAAAGTGAAAGTAGGTCAGGAGAACAGTATTGTTGCATAAGCGTGATAGCTTGGACTCAGATCCCTCCCCCCCCCCCCCCGTTGTGTAACAAGGAAAATGACAGAGAGATGGGTTCTGTTTCTGAAAGTGCTCCTACTGGAGAGCTTGATCTTCTGTAGCCCAACTGCCAGTGACTCACTGTTCTGATTGGGTATAGTTTTTATTTCTGGAAATGAATTTTGCCTGCAAAGAGAGATTTCTTCCTCCCCTCTTCATGAGGAAGGGCAAATCCTGTCACTCAGAGCCACACACGGCCCATAGTTAGTGGACATTTATGAATGCGGAGATCTGGGGGGGGGATGCCTCTAACCTGCTCTGACAAACTGAAGGGTCCACATTCCTGATTTCTCTTAAGTGGCCATGAAATGTTCTTTTCGCAAGGGCTGCATTTTTCTTTTCTTAACAGTAGACAGGACAGAGATATTGATACCATTCACCTGTACAGTAGCATAAAAACTTTCTGAAAAGCTCACTGTTCAGCTTCCTCCTGCTGCACTGCAATGTGGAAACACGGATTGTCTGATTTCCGCGTCATAACTGGCTTTTAAAGTTAACAGTCATTGCTGCAGAGTTCTGTTTATAAAAAGTCAGGCAAACAAAAAGCAGTTCTAAAACACTCAGGGGAGAATTGTACAGTTCAGACGTGGTTAGGTGTAGGTGATCTGTTTCATAAACCTTCTGAATATATCTATTTTTGAAGTGGTTATAAGAAAATTGATCCCTGGAATTTTCCACCAGTTTCCAGGAACGGGATGCTCTTGCGATCTGGCAGTTGCTGCTCTCTGCGTTTTATGCAACACTTGGAAGTGCTTGTGTAAGACGAATGGGACGGCACTCTCAGTGGCAGCTCCCCAGACAGAGAGCAGAAGCTAATTTTAAACTTAAATAATGGATGTTCCCAAGACATTTGAGTAAGGAGGTGATTCTGAAGGATACAAGCATACATCAATAGTTTTAATTAATAGTTGTACTGAGTCACTGTTTCCATTACTTACAGCCCCCAATGATCATTTGTTATATAGCAACCGGTCACAGATTAATTCTACTTTGAAATGTTGCGAAGAAGCCTTGCATGATGCAGAAATGGCCTGCAGACTCCAGCCATATTGGTTGAAGGTGAGTTCTCGGGGATGTGGTTGTAATTAAGCAGCAGCAAGAGCTCCTCTGATCATGGGCAAAGTGCCCTTCTGAGATTATGGCTCCGGCCATCTGTATTTCAGGACTTAAGCCTTGGCATTCAAATTTATTTATTTCATTTATACCCTGCCTTTTCCCTCAGCCGAGGTCCCCAAGTGGTTTACATCATTTTCCTCTCTTCCATTTTATCCTCACAACTGCCCTGTGGGGTAGGAAGGCTGAGGGAGTCTGGCTGGTCCAAGGTCACCAAGGAAGCACCAATGGTCACCCAGATCCTAGACCAGCACAAACCACTCCGTCACTCTGGCTCTCGTGGTGGGTTCTGGGGTTAACAGATAGCCCAGAACCTAAATGCTAAAAATGCAGTTTGGCTTTTAAGGTCGTGTCTGTAGCAACCATCCCACCTTTCCAAAATAAATGAAAAACCGAGGTGGAAGTCGTACTGACAGCATCCTACTGGAAGTATGATCGTATTTAGCCTAATTTCCAATGACTCATTGTCACGGCCTTTCACTCAGTTGAATTGGGTTTTATTTCTGGATATGTATGGCTGTGCTTTTGTTTACAAAGAGGCTGCTCCCTCTTTATGAGAAGGAAAAATCCTGTAACTTACAGTGACATCCTAAGCACAGATATTTTTTTCCTAAGGCAATTGACTTCAATTGATTTAGGTGTAACTCTGCTTAGGATAAAGTTTGAGTCCAGTGGCACCTTTAAGACCAACCAAGTTTTATTCAAAGTATGAGCTTTCATGTGCACACACACTTCCTCAGACGTCTTCATTATGTTGTATGCTAATTTGCTGTTCACCCTCTGCCTATGTGTATGGACTGTTAACTTCCACTTCAGTGTATCTGAGGAAGTGTCCGTGCACACGGAAGCTCATACCTTGGATAAAACTTTGTTCGTCTTAAAGGTGCCACTGGACTCAAACTTTATTCTACTGCTTCAGACCAACACGGCTGCTCACTTGGATTTATCTGCTTCAGATGACACTGTTAATGTACTTTGTGCTCACAACAACCCTGCAGGGGAGGCTAGGCTGGGGATGCTGCTGTTTGTCCAAGACCACCCACTTAGAGCCAGCTGAGTGGCACTTTCGACCGAGGTCTCCCATGTTCAAACTTGAAATTCCGCTTGCTGTGCCATATTGTTGATCCTTCCACTTCAGCCTAAATTGCTGAGATTTGGTAGGCGTGCATAGCAAATCAAGTGATGACTCTTTTCTTCCTCTTGCAGGGTCACTTACGGAAGGGGCAAGCCCTAGCTAACCTTGGGAAGACCGAAGAAGCTTTGCATGAGTTCTTGTTTTGCCTTGCTGTGGATGTCGGGAATAGAACAGCCAAATCGGAGGCTCAGCGGGTGAGTTCTGTGTCTCCCTGTGACCGTTCTCTGAATGTAACATCGCCTCCCTCTCTATGATCCATGGGTCTGGAGTTACCAAGTCATGAGGCTGAGTGACTAGTATGGCTGCACTTTAGAAATATCACTCTGAATGGCATTCAGCATCCTACTTTTTAGGCAAAGTGGATGTCACATTTAAAAAAGAGATGATAATTTTTCACATTTAAAAAAGAGATGATAATTTTTCTTGGCTGTGGTGTGAGTTTGACTTCTTTTTACCTTCAGAAGTTTGCATGACAGTCCTGTATCCAGGGGTTCAGCTCTGTCAGTGTTGTGCTGCCCCCACTGCCTGCAAGCTCAACTACTTAACTTTTTGTATTTTCATGTATTATGTGTATATTTTCTTTCTTTTCTTTATTTGTTTATGGCCAATTGTTCTATGATCATTAATAAACTGAATGGGAAAATGTATGTATTTTCATCCTTAAGAAAACGTGATTTTTAAACTGTTCTGGGGATTGGATTGGGGGCATATCTTGGTGGCATGGGTTCTAGCCAATGGGTTCTTAGCCATAGTCTCAACTCGCTTATCACAATCACATTAAAGGTTTTAAAAGCGGTAGACATGACTTGTTCTTGAATATATATGCATACACACACTTCTTTCTGTCTTGGGCTGAACTCTGAGAAACTAGCTTAGCAGGTTTTGGTATGATTCAGAGTATATCTGGTGAGAACTGGCTGTAGGGGATGCCTATTGGCTAGTGCTTGTGACATCACCAATGGGTCTTTCCCTCCTTCCATTTTCCAACCCTTACAGTAGTTGTGCAACTTGTTCTATAAGGTTTGGTTGGGAAGGGCTGTTCTTGGTAATGCGGAAGATAAAAAGCACATCATGTGCTGTTCTCATTTGCTGGCATGTTCTATATTCCCTCTCTCCACTTTGCTGTCACCTGTGGTCTTGTGCCATCAGTGTGTCATGCATCATATTGTCTTGATGTGTTGGTGCTTCTGATGTGCCTGAGCATGAACTTGCATATGAATTGTTTCTGCAGTCTTAGAAATATAACAGTACATTATTTGGAGGAGGTCATTTGTTGTGATGAAAGTGCGCTTGCGAGCGGAAGTACTGTGCAAGGATCTGGGCTACTGAACTTGCATGTAAAATACAACCAGCTTGATTGATTCTGGCCCGGGCTGCTTGTGCACTGGTGCCAGAGCCTATGCTTTTGTGAAGCGTCCCAGATGCAAACTTGCTGATGAGCTCGTCATGGCCCAGTGCTTAGCACAAATTGCTGTTGGCCTGGGAGGTTCCGATGCTGATGCTTCAGATGGATCCAGTGTGAAAAGTTTGTGAAAGAGGTCAGGGGGAAAGAGAAGGACTAAGAGGAGGGGTTGGCCATGGAAGGCCCAGGGGTTCAGTCCTGCCTCTGTGGTCTTCCAGTTTGCCCCCCCCCCACATCCCTGATCCCAAGGTCTGCTTCCTTATTCTGAATCTTGTCCCCTTTTTGCCACGTGAGCCTGGCCACCAGCAGTGGATGGGGGGAGTAGGGTTGCCAGATCCAGGTTGGGAAGCTCCTGGAGAGTTGGGAATGGAGCCTGGGGGAGGACAGGGACCTCAGTGGGGTAGAATACCATGGAGTCCACACTCCAAAGCATATATTTTCCCCAGGGGAACTGACCTCTGTAGTCTGGAGATGAGCTTTAATTCCAGGGGATCCCCAGGTCCCAATGGGAAGCTGGCATCCCTAGCACAGTTCAGTGGAAGAACATTCGGGTTCCATGCCACCAACTCCAGTTCAAGGGTCTTTGCGTGTGATCCTGGGGAACTGCTGAGCCATGGCAAGACCCCCACTGTGTTCGTGAAGTGGTGAGTGGTCAATAGTTTTCAGGTGGTAGCTTTGGCCCAATGATTGTTGAGTCTTTGTCATCCTCTTGGCCGGGATCTACTGGGGGCACCAGGGATTGACCTGGGGATCTTGTGTGTGCCAAGCACATGCACTGTCACACTGACCTGTGAACATTTCCCGCCCCTTCCTCCCCCCCAAAAAAAACCATTGCAAAGGAAGAACCAAGTAGTGAAGTGTTCCTATTTGTTTTATATCGCAGCTTCTCCTTAGTTTATTTTCGCGTATCCCGGGGGATGCTCAGGAACATTTGCCCGATATCCTGCAGTTGTTGTCCTGTCACTCTAGATTAAAAGGGAACCTTTTAAATTCAAAGGGATCTGGAGGCAGCAGCCAGAGTCTGCAAAGGTTGCTCAAGGTAAAGCTCGTCTTTTGATCTGTGGCTCTTAATAGTGAATGTATTTTAAGTGTAATTTTTGAGGGGTGGACAGTTTGTCTCTTTTGGGGGGTGGGGGAGAGACCAACCTCTTATATGTATATGTATCACTCTCTTTTTTGGTGAAACTAATGGCATTATTTGGAGGACTGTGAGGTCCCCTGGCAGTTACAGTACGTGGTCTAACGACCTTGGCTTAGAAGTTGGGACTGAAGAGGGTGCAAGGGGTGAGTGTGACAGAGTGGTTAAGATAATGTGGTGATATCTGGAAAGGTGTTTTCAGCTTAGTCTCTGCCACGGACTTACTTGGTGACCTTTGGCAAGTCACAACTTTTCAGCCTCAGTCTTCCCATCTACAATACGGGAATTAGACTGGCATACACAACAGAACCATTGTAAGGATGAATATGTATGAAGGACTTTGAATACTGCAAGCAGTTACATAACAGACGCTGATTCTGGTCTTATCAAGTGTGGAAGGAATATTGTTGTTTGAGATTTCAGAACAGGCTTTGTTTGACTCTCTTGGGCTGTAAGAATAACTTTGTCAGCCCTGAGTAGGAAGGTGTATGCCCTTTGGTGTGAGGGGTGTCGCTGTGAAGTCCATTATTCAAATCCTGGGGGAGAGTGGCATGGTGTTGTTGTTTTTTTAAGTCCCTTTCTGTGTTGTGAAAATAACCCCTTCCTTTGTTCCTTCAACCTGTCCACTTATAACAGTGTCTTTACAATCTGTCTTAAGCTGCTCTTGGAATGCTACTTGTTGCTGCTCGATTTACGAAGCGTCTTGTACCAAGACAGGCTGTTATCCCATGGGGGGCATTGTCTATTCTAACTTGCAGTGGCTGTTGAAAGCCTCGGGGAAGAGACACCTCTAAACTTCAGTCTAAGCTGACTTATGGCAACCCCCTGGGGTTTTCAAGGCAAGCAATGTTCAGAGGTAGTTTTGCCATTGCCTGCCTCCAGGTCACAACTCTAGTATTCTTTGGTGGTCTCCCATCCAAATACTAACAAGGGCTGAACCTGCTTAGCTTCTGAGAACTGATGAGGCCGGGCAAGCCTGGCTATCCAAGTCAGGGCTGCTACAGGGGATCAAAACTGAGTCCTAATGTGTGAGGCATGAGTGTTACTACTGGACTGTGGCTCTTCCCCAAGCAGGCAGGCAATCTTGTTACCTGTTGCCTGTCCTCCTTGCCATTTCCCCAATCAGAAATGCCAGCCTTGGGCTGCCCGTGTTGGGCCTGTCCGATTCTCCTCCCCCCCCCCCAGCGTTTCCAGGACTAATAGCCCTCCTGGGGGCATTATTGATCAGGGGGAAAGTGTGAGGCAAAAGGTTAAGCAATCCATTCCCTGGTGCCACAGCCCTGATCTACATACTCCCCACATCTGGTTGCTACAGCTAAGATACCTGATTAGGGGTCAGATGGCCCCTTCCCTCTGGTAACCTGATCTTTCAAATCTTAACATCCAATACGTGGCACTTTGAATTCCAAAAGGACAACCAAGGTCTCACAAACAGCAGAGAACTATCAAATCTGTTTCCGGTCTATAACCTTAAAGGGGGACTCACATGATAGAGTGATCCTCCAAACCTCCCTCCAGTGCCCTGTACACAGAATGCTAGTATGTCAGGGGAAAGGGGGGCAGGTTCTAGTGCTGCCTTCTCCCTGGAATTCTGTCTCTCTGTGTGCAGGGTTCTGTTTTTTATTTTGTTTTTTAACGGAGGCACATTCAAGTGTGTGAGCTCCAACCAGCAGCCTGAAGAGGTATAAAACAGGTATGGGTTTGGCGCCTCCCCTTCTGTTTGTGAGCCCTTAATATCTGAATTGCTAGGTAGTCTCTGAAGTACTGGCTCCTGCTTGCTTAGGATGACGAGGAACAGACTTTAGCTTCACATGAAGGCAACCCACCAGTAAAGCAGACATCACTGCTCTGGGGGCTAGCTGCACTAGAATCATACAGTTGGAAGGGATCTCCAGCACAATGCAGGAAATTCGCAACTACTTCTCCCCCTTATTCCCAGTGACCCCTGCCCTGTGCCCAGAAGATGGCAAAAAAATAATAATAATAATCCTCCAGGATCCCTGGCCAAACTGGCCTGGAGAAATATGCTTCCTGATTCCAAAGTGGTGATTGGCATTTCCTTGGGCATGAAAGAAAGGGCCACGAGAACTAAGCACTGATGCAACCGTTCCTGCCCTCCCTTTTGTGATCTACCTAAGTTCACAGAATCAGCATTGCTGTCAGATGGCCATCTAACCTCTGCTTAAAAACCTCCAAAGAAGGAGGCCTTACCACCTCCCGAGGAAGCTTGTTCCACTGAGGAACTGCTCTGTCAGGAAGTTCTTCCTAATGTTTAGCCGAAAACGCTTTTAATTTCAACCTGTTGGTTCTCGCCCAACCTTCTGGGGCAACAGAAAACAACTCTACACCATCCTAGTAATTAATGATAAAGATACTGTTTTGTCATGTCTATGGATATGTCAGGATAATGATTAGAGCTGGGGATAGTGTGGTGCTCAGGCTGCATTCCAAGATTGTGAGCAAACCTCAGTTTTGTTGTCATGAATGAGCCAGAATTTCCAGGCTTGTACATTCCTTCTCTTCTTCACCCTCTGCATTGTACTGTACCAAGACTTCCTAGTTTAGAACTAACCACAGTTTTTTGTGGTATCCAAAGTGGCTACTTGAGCAAACTGCGGTTTGTTTCTTGTCTGCAAACCAATCACTGCATGTGAACTGTGGCCTGCAAAGTCCCTAGGCCATATCTCACCCTTAGCCATAATGAGCATGGCAAACCACTCTCTTTCAGCCTTAAACCCTCATCTGTATTGGGGGGGAATTTCTTCTGGCCTACATTATAGGGCCGTTGTAAGGATTACTGAGATAATGTCTATGAAGAGTTTTGAACAGTTGTAATGTGCATTATGATTAATGCAGCAAGCATCTTCCATTGTGATGGGGTGGTGGTAGAGGTAGATTAGGGGATGGAAAGAGGCCTCCCCCAGCCCCCACGGAGGGGGAGGAACAAGATTCTGCCTGCCCTGTGTAACATGGGGACTGCCAAGTGGCCATGGGGGGGGCGGCCCCCAGGCCATCAGCCTACTGGGACTTTTCCTGATGGTCTTAACAGCCAGCCTGCCTCAGGGGAGTGGCTATATGGGGAGGAGGGCTTGTATTTGCAGTGACTGGGGAGGGGTCAGAGCCCCTGTAATTAATGGCTGTGCCATCCATAGTCAGGACTAGAAGGAGAGACTACCCTCCCTGTGCTAGTGTTCCCAAGAGGCACTAATCTCAAGTAGACTCAAACAAAGCATTTTATTTCTTCCCCAAAGTTTGAATGAGAGCCATTCTCTGAAAGGGGAAATAGGAAGGGGTGAACTTAACACCACCTCTGGAGGGGGAACCAAACCTGCTTCAGTGACCTCAGCCATTGGGCATTGAGCTTGATGGGCAGTAGCTTCAGGATGGACAGAAGGAAATACTACTTGACACGGAGAGTGATTAAAATGTGGGATTCACTGCCAGCGAAACTGATTGGCCACTGTGTGAAACAGGATGCTGGACTAGATGGGCCACTCGTCTGATCCAGCAGGGCTCTTCTTATGTTTTTATGACCGATCTGATTAATTCCTCCCCTTCATTTGCGTAGACCCATTCTAGACTCTGCTTCTTGGTCACGTAATGCCAAACTTGAATCTGGGTGCAGGGTGAGCGTCTAAATGGTATAGCGATGATGACACAAAAACAGTGGCTGTGCGATGTCCTTCATTAAGACCAAACACAACCTCACAAAGTAGTGAACTGGGGCAAAGGGGTGTTCCAGTAGTGAAGAATGTCCTTATTGAAAACCTACAGTTTTGAAAGAAAATCTTTCTTTTTCATGCAGGTCAATGTAGAACAGAACAAGAGTCTCACTGAGGATCGGAAAGAAGTCAATTGTGGCAGTGTGGGAAAATCTGCCCCAGCAACAGAGAGCGAAAAAGACACTGTGGGTGACAAGGGCAGGAATTCCTCAGTGCCCGAATTGGCTCAGAAGTGTCGACTTTTAAAGAGGAAGCATTACTCTGAGGAGTCCCCAGATGCCAATGTGCCTAGCAAAATTATGAAAAGGGGTAAGGTGTTTATTTCTTTTGGGGGCACGTCCAGTTCTTTCCTCTGAGCATTTGAGTATTTTAAAAAAATGCAGTAATGGATGCTTTCTTTCAAAGAGTGTTTTTGCAAAAAAAAATCTTTGTGTGGGCTTTCAGGTTGGCCCCTCATAGTTACTGTGGCTGAGTGTTCTCTTCTGCGGAGGCCTTGAGTTTGCTCAGGGAAATGCAGCACCCTTTACAAAAAGCAATTAAATTCATAATGGGGTTGAAATGGGAAAAGAGATTTGGAGCCAGTCTTCACAAAGTGTAGAGCAAGGTGGTAGGCCATCCCACTTCAGATTACGGGTGGAGGGGGAAGAGTTGGCATTTCTGTGCTCATCCTCTCTTGCCAAAAAGAAACCCCTTCTTCATGCCACACAGGGAGATTTGGGATAGTGCAAGTTTACTACATGCAGGAAAGGGGGGGGGGTTTACAGAGGGCAGTAAAAATATGAACCCTGCCCCACAGTCTGAAATAGTACAGTCCAGAATGCTACCCCTCTCCACCGTAATGTGTTGATTAACTCTTGGATTAAATGTCCTCGTGGACGTGACATTGACGGATAAAATAAAACATCAAAACGATAATGTTTTGCATCTCCAGCCATGACTTTTCTTTTCCAAAATATGCAATAGGCATTTTTGTTGAGACTCCTGAATGCTGAGTCACTGGTTGTGACACAGTGAACAGTGCTTGGGACCAATGTTCGCTCTTTCTGGTTCTGTGACTTATCTTCTTGTGTATGTGGTTGTCTTTTTAAACAGACCCGAATGAAGAAAACGGAGCCAGAGCTGGGAACTGTGTTCTCTTTGAATTTGTAGACTCGTCTGACCTGGAGTGTTCACTGTGCATGAGGTATCCATTATTTTTGCATGGGTGGGCAAGTAAAGATGTAGTACTCCCCAGCTTGAAAACCTGTGATATGATCACGGTTTAAAATGCAACCATGGTAATCGTTAGCCATGGTTAACAGAGGTGCCAGAGGAATTTGGAGGGACAGAACTGAGAGGAGAGGGAAATCTGCGATCTGCTACTTGCTTAGAAGCAAAGGCGTGGTGATGGATTATTTAGTACATGGAAGACTTCTGGCATTGGTTTGTATTGATATTAACTGGGGGAAGGGCTGTGGGTCAGTGGTAGAGCTTCTGTTTTGCATGCAGAAGGTGCCAAATTCTACTCCCAGCATCTCCAGTGAAAAGGCTCAGGTGGTAGGTGATGGGAAAGACATCTACCATAGACTGTGAGAAACCGCTGCTGTTCAGAGTAAACGATACTGTCCTCGATAGACCAAGGGTCTGATTTCTATATAAAGCAGCTTCATGTTTCATTGTTGTTGTCTGTTATGTAACACAGACGAACCGCAGATGGGCAACCTTGAACCGATAACCCAGTGACCTACCCGCTAATTAATAGAAGCTGTTATTAACCTATTTTTGTCTGCCCAAGTAACAAATATAGCTGACCTACATCCAGTTAGTGAATGAGCGGCAAACGCTAATGCCCACAAAGTACCTGCGGTGACCAAGGAGTGTTTCTTTCAAACACTTTTTAGCAATCGCTATCTATTTCATCTCCTGGGGCTACCTTTGCAAATGGGGAGGGGAGTGGCCTCAGTGGGATATAATGCCAGAAGACCCCCTTCCAAAGCAGCTATTTTCTCCAGGGGAAGACTGGAGCCCTCTCACTGCAACAGTGTCCCCCTTAACTTTTTTACTTTCCCCCAACAACTGAATGGTTGCAAGTAACTTAGGGGGGAGAAGGTAAATGGGTGTAATGAAGGAGGGCGTTTAACCTGCTACCTGTACCAAATCCAAATGTTGACACAATCAGACCATAGAAATTGGATTAATTTGCAAGGCAGGCATGTCTCTCCTGGGTTCTGTTCCTTGGTCACAAAAGAGCATGACAGAATGTTCAGAACCAGCTTCTACTCAGATAACTGGGTGACTAATTAAACTAACGGATCATTTCGGTACACACCAAGGCCATCTTCTGCAAATCATAATGCTAATGTTTTAACTCTCTTTGCGGGGGGGGGGATGTTTTGAACTTCTCCATGCAGATAAGGGAGACTCTTATTTTACAAGTGGGAGTTGCAATGAATCCCCAGTTTATCCATTACTCTTGCTACAAAATAGTGTCACCTTTTCCCCCCCTCACCCAATTCCTCTATTCCAGGCTCTTCTACGAACCTGTCACCACCCCCTGTGGACACACTTTCTGCCTGAAATGCCTTGAAAGATGCCTAGATCACAACCCAAAATGCCCCCTGTGCAAGGAAGGTCTCTCTGAGGTAAAGCCGGGGTTTGTTTGTTTTTCAGGTATCCACATGTGCCTTGGGTTGTTGAGGGAGGCATGTGAAAATAATAATGTGGGAAAACTCCTTTTTCTGGTGCAGTAGAGTGAGCTTCCTGTCTTACCCGTACAAGGGCTAGAGTTCTTCACACTTTGCTGAGCGTTCAAAATCCATTATTATTCCGCAGAGTAAAAATCAGCATAATTTAGTTATACACAGGTTTGTTAATCTTCTACAGCCATGAGAGCTGGAAACTTGGTTTTGCGTTCTTTTAAAAAAAAAAAAAAAAGCCCACTGAGGTTTTTAGGGAGAAACTAGGAAAATGGTGGAAACTTCTGATTGGTAAATAATAACCATGGAGGTTTTCCCAACTTCAAATGACTTCCTGGAGTTACGTATTTGGCCTTTGAGAAAAACAATTGTTTCCCCCTACCTCAGTATCTTCAAGAAAGCAAGCTTTGAGCGCACACACCGCTTGTTATAATTGCAGTGTTTGATCCAATGACCAAAGTCAGGGTGGGTAACGTGAGGGTGGAGTTTGGCCTGGCAGGCCCTTTTTGCCCCCAAACAGTTGACTCCCAGGTGAATCATAACATCTCAGCCTCGGGCTGTGGGTGCTATGGACTGAGATTCAGAAGGGCCTTGTATTGCCAACTGCAAAGGTCTTTCGGTGATCCGGTAGTTATGAGGACATAGCACAAAGTTGAAGTTTTGCTTTTCATGGGGGGAAACCTTCCATAGCTGAATCTGTGCCTGAGAGAGATCCCATTTGTTCTTCAGTGTTTGGCAATGAGGAAGCACTGTAAGAATGTGCTGATGGAAGAATTAATTGCAAAATACCTCCCTGATGAACTCACCGAACGGAGAAAACTTCACGAAGAGGAAATTGCTGAACTTTCCAAGTACGTTCTTGCCTTGAGATGGTTCCCCCACACACACACTCTATTGCTATTTAACTCCAACCTTTTAAGGAGGTAAGGAAAGCGTCTGTTATTACAGAATCAACCCTGCACAGTTCAGGAAGGGCAGAGATCTGCAGGGTTGGCTTTGAGGAAGTCTTGCCCTTAGATTCAGTGATTGAGGGGACTCGCTGAGAATACAGTTTCATGGCTGAGTGATGTTCTCTCTGTAACCAGCCCTTGTCCTCAAGCAAAGACCACCTGCCGTCAGTAGAAGGGGAGGTAGTAGAGCTATTCTTGCATTGCATCCTGTGTTGGGAAGATAAGCTGCTTATGTTAATGAGTTTTAAGAATGAGGACAGCAAAAAGAATTTCCAGAAAGTGTTAGTATGCCACAGCCCAAATCAGAGTCTTGTAGCATTTCAAAGACAAATGGACTTACTGTGGCATAAGAATTCATAGGCCAGAGCCTACATCAACAGATGCATGAAGTGTCTTTAGTTGGCAGACATGGGCATTGAGAAAGTTGTGAATTCTGGAGTCAGAAGGCCATGACACGCAGTCCTTCTCCCCTTATTTGCATTCGTAAAAGCGATTGTGCAGTGTTCAGAGTTTAACATAATGTTTTTGTTCTCCAGCTTGAATAAGAATGTTCCCATATTTGTTTGCACAATGGCCTATCCCACTGTCCCATGCCCACTGCACATCTTTGAGCCATGTTATCGACTGATGATTCGGAGATGCATGGAGACAGGCACCAAGCAATTTGGAATGTGTATTGGAGATCCTGTCAAAGGGTGAGTGCTGTGAAGGGTTGAGCCCCAGGACCTGGAAGCAGTATAGCTGTCTGTTGCCTCAGATCTTTCCCTCTCTTGTAATATGTAAGACTTCTGATGCCCCTGGGCTTTCATAACTTTGACAGCCAGCATCCCAAAGGGTTCTAAATCTTCCCTGGGTCCTTCCAAGCCTTGCATTTTTTGATGATGAAGTCTGTTTACATAGCCCCATTACACTAGGAGTTTTAACACTGTGTCAATATTCCTTGTTGCAAAATCGTGTGTGCGGAATTCAGGGATTTTTTTTAATGGCTTAGCTGTAAACACATATGGTGTTGTCACCTAGACCGTAGATGCTGAGGATGTGTTGTGACAGATGCTATGTTGCTAGACGTCTCAAACATGTAAACACTTAGTTTGCCCAACACCATCCGTTCAGAGGCTTTTTAAAATGCAGATTGTAGATGCTGAACATGATTTGGCAGTTTTCAACAACATCCCAAATATATTTTTTACAACAAAAGCCAATACGCTTAAAAAAATGTCTACCTTGAATTCCTGCATGTCGTGCTTCTAGCCTCCTAGCAGTTGTAGGTGTTGTCTGAAAACTGATACATGCAGACCACTTCTATTGAAAAGGGAGCTTGATAGATGAAGCACTCAGTTTGAAATCTGAGTCATAACAACCAAGTCATACAACCACTTCTTACATACAGAAGCTTTCCTTTACCCATACCATTAGGTAGACATCATGCAGTTTCTGTGGGCTGTACAGCATGTAGAATATATAAACGAAGATTCCAGTGCAATCTAAGGCAAAATTCCCACTGGAACTAAAATGTTGCCCAGGCGCAAGCACTCTGTTTTGCATACAGTTTTCATGTGGGTTTTTATTTGTTTTTATATGGAATATTGGATCCTGCCTACAATTTCCGTGGGTGGAAGGCGTGACTTCCTTTCCTCCCGCTGCGGTCCAAAATGCCTGCTGAAATGCTGCTCCGGGGGAATGGGGCGGACCCCAAGGATAGCTGGGGGGGGGATTAGTCACTCTGAACCAACCCATAAAGTATTTAGTCACCCTGAAGACACCATGAAGTGTTTGGTGGGTTTGTCATAGTTTGGCATAAAGCAAGGAAGAAACTAAAGCAGATGGGTCCACCAGAAGCAATGCTTTGTTAAACAAAAAATATATGGAGCATTGGTTTAACTGAACTCAGAGTTTCAGCCTGATCAGTTTACAGCGATAATCTTAAAGTTCTACTTTTGAAAGCCACTGATACGTAATCTGCAGCCGCCTATAGAAAAAGTAGTCCAGGTTTACAGATAGCCGTAACTGAGCCTGTGAGATGTTTTTGTGATAGAATGACTATGCCACTAGCCTTGAGAACTGCTACTAGAAAGAACATAAATCGTGTTGCTTTTCCCTTGGTTCTGGTAAACAGATTTGCAGATTACGGCTGTATGCTGGAGATAAGAAACGTGGAGTTCTTTGCCGACGGGCGTTCTGTTGTTGACAGTATTGGGAAGAGGAGGTTCAAAGTGATACAACACAGCCAACGTGATGGATACAACACAGCTGATATTGAGTACATTGAAGATCAAATGGTGAGTATGGGAAGGCAGTTTGGCCAGCAGGAAGCTTAGAAATCAGAGTGGAGCTCTAGAACTAGCTTGAGTGTTATTCATTCTGGGGCTGGTGTACTATAGTGCTAACAGAGAGATCCGGGAGGTTGCCGGTTTAAATCCGCCATCAGGCACAAACTCTCTAGGTGGCCTTGTCAAGCCATGTCTCCTGGTCGTTGTCTCCACCCCACCCCATTGCACTGTGGGGGACACTGACCTAATTTTACAGGACTATTGTAAGGGTTACTAAAATGATGTAGGTGAACTGCATTGGATATTGAGAGTGCAAACAAATCACTGGTACAATTCCAACAATTAGGGTTGTTGCAGCTGTCATAAATTGAACAATGCAGTTGCATTATCAGTTAAGAACGCAATCCATTAAGCGTCTATGAAGTCCTGAAAATTTGCCTTTCTCTCGAGATAACTATTCCAAAGAAAGTTTTTTACCCTGTTATGTCTTTAGAGTTCACCAAATTAGAATGTTCTACAGTTTTTGCTGCTTGAGCAACAGAAATGCTAAAGAGTGTTGGACTAGGATCAGGAAGATCCTCTTCTTAAATCTTCCTCTTAAATCCTCACCCTGCCATGAGATCAGATAAGAGATTGGATTTATACCCCACCCTTCACTACCTGAAGGAGTCTCAGAGCATCTTACAATCTTCTTTCCCTTCCCCTCCCCACAACAGACACCCTGTGAGGTAGGTGGGGCCGAGAGAGCTCTTTCAAGAACTGCTCATGAGAGAATAGCTCTGAAAGAACTTGTAACTGACCCAAGGTCACACCAGCAGCTGCATGTGGAGGAGTGGGGAATCAAACCTGGTTCTCCCAGATTAAAGTCCGCACTCCTAACTACTACACCAAACTGGCTCTCATACCAAACCAGCTAACTTTTCCCAAGGACCTTGAAGTAGTATACAGAGGGATTACCCAGTTTTATCCTCATGGTGGCCCTATGTGGTATGTTAGTTTAGAAGAGAATGTATGTCGCCGAACTTCCTGAATACAGTGTACAGCTAAAGAAAGAGTGAATGTATCTGGTTCTCCCTTAAATTCTCAACTTAAATATCCTTTTCTACTTTCCCAATTTTGTGCTGCTTCCAGGTACAAGGAGAAGAATATGCTGAGCTAATTGTTCTCCATGATTCTGTATACAACCAGGCCTACATGTGGTTTAACTCTCTGAAGCCAGCACTCAAGAGTCGTATCCTCGGTCATTTTGGTCCAATGCCTGTTAAGGATTTGGAGCTCCAGGTATGCGATGGTACACTTGTGCAGAAACAGGATTTCAACCCATTTTGATCCTGAATTAAATAAAAGCAGCTTGAGATGAGGGAGAAAGTTGCAGTTTGGAAGCCCACGTGGGATTAGCTACTTGGACAGAGAGGGGAGGAGCTTTGGGACAGTGAATGGCATGGGTACTGCTTCCTGCTCCAAGTCATTTATCCAGAAGTAGCTTTTTACTTTCTTGCAAAGGGCAGCTGGCATAAAATTGCACTCATCTGCAAGTGGTTTGGCCCTGTTGGCAAATCCTAGAGTAAACAAGACCATTGGTGTGGTGTTGTGCTCCATGACGGAACTTAGAAGCCCTGGGTTAGAGCAAACTTCTCCTTGGAAGAGAAAGTGCAGAAGACTTTTAATGCCTCTCTAGTAAAGTGTGTCCCAACCTGGATAGCCCAGGCTAGTCCAATCTCATCAGATCTCGGAAGCTGGGTTGGCCCTGGTTAATATTTTGATGGGAGACCACCAAGGAAGTCCACGGTCGCTATGCAGTGGAAGGCAATAGCAAAGCACATCTCTGTAGTCTCTTCCCTTGAAAACCCCACAGGGTCGCCATAAATCGGCTGTGACTTGATAGCAAAAAAAAGTAACAGTTAATTCTGAAATGTAGAGATTGAGCACCTGTTAACTGGGGGATCAGAGAGCAGCAGTTGGCACATAGGCAGTGCTTGCTGTAAACCTCCAGGGCTCTTGGAATGCAGCCTTTTTTCCAGCACATGTGAAAACCAACCTCTTTGACTCCTTAGCCAGTGCCAAGACAGATTGGCGTTTCTGTGCTTCCCTTCAGTGGGTGAATGGAGTTTATTATAACCTGCTGCTGGATGTGTTTTGTGCATTGGTGAGGGTGGTGGTGGCATGAATGCAGTAGGAGTTAAATCCTTTGTGCAATTGGGCATGCAGGGCTTAATAAGGAGCCAGGTTGTTTCTTAAACTGTTGCAATTTGCAAACAGAGAGGAATAAGTTATTTCTTTCTCTGTGGCTTTTTCCCCTTCCTTCCTTTCAATGAGACGACATCTGTGGTGCATTGCTCATAGAACGTGGGATGGGCACTGCTTGTGCAGTGTTGGGGGGAAAAGCTTAGACTAAATTTTGACTCCTTAGAACAGGCTGAGGGTCTCCTAGTGTAGATAGTGTAGTATAGAATCAGCTCAGCTGGTAGGTTTCCCCTTGCAGAAGGCAGGCTTGTCCCGTTTCCCCACTTTGAAATGTCAGAATAACCCCAAGCTCTTCCTTCTCTTCCAGGCCAACCCGAATGGCCCTTCCTGGTGCTGGTGGGTGCTGGCTGTCCTCCCCCTGGAGAGCAGAGCTCAGCTACCCTTTCTTGCCATGACGTCCCTGAAAGAACGTTTGGATGCTATCCGGCGAATCCTGACCTTCATGTCCCGCGCAAGATCTCGCTGAGGCCACAAGGAGTCCTGTGAATCCTCTTGCAATACTTGGCTGGCGAACTCAAGTGTCTCTCTGTTAACTGTGGCCATTTTCATATGCTGAGGCTTAAATCCGCTCTTGAGCCTATCTCAGAGCCGAGTCTGGGGGGGCCCTTCTAGAAGATGCTGTCCAGCGCTGCCACCAGCTTGAGTTAGAGGATGGGGGGGGGATCACTGCCACCACACAGCTGCAGACCCGCCTAAGACCATGGGGCCTCCATAGCAGTGCAGTAAGGTCTGCCCCAATGTTTCCCCCTTGTCTCTGCCGCAAGCCGTTAACAGAAGAAAAAATGCAGAAGAGAAATGTTTTGTTTTTTGTGAGGTCAGAGGGCATTCTGGCTACTAGAGGCTTTCTTCAGATCAAAGCAAGAGCTACTTTTAAGCCCCATGTATGAAAGAGCCCTGTCTCTTGCTGCAATAATGTTTGAAATGAGGGAGAAGGAAACAGTTCTATTCCAGATCGTCGACACAGCAAAAACCGAAAACTGAGCCTTCAGCAAGTTACCATGTGCAATGCATAATGTTTCTGAGTTTGGTTTCAGTTGCTGCACTGTTAAGCTTAAATGTTCATATGTTTCTTTTTGTGTGTGGGTGGGAGGTGGGGAGAAAGTGAACAAAAGAGAAGCGAACTTGTTTGCCATAAACCTCTTACAAGGTTTTCTTAATTTTTATTTCATTTTGGGAATAGCTGCATTTGAAATTGGTCTGGTTTAATATGAAGCAGAAAGACTAATGATACTGATGCATAATTTCAGCAGATTGCAGCTGTCTTATTCCAAAAGGGTTCAGGTTTTATATGTGTACATATAACAATGTTCATGAGTTTCATTCAATAACTTTTATTTTTTGCACTAAGGTTTTTGTGTTTTAAGTGTAAATTGTAATTAAGTGTATATATTCTGCATACTAGTTTGTGGTGTTTTTATACTGAATTTGGGGAAGGGAGTAAAATAGGGAAACCAGGAGTACACAAACTTTGATCATTGTTATTCTTTGTTGCTTAAGCTGGTCTAAACATTTTTCTACATATCTCCAGTGTTAAATCTCCACAGATGTTTCCAGGCAGCCTGCCATGAAGTCTAACTTTTTTTCTTACATAGATTGTGAATATTAAAACAATATATATTTTTTCAGACTGGAGCCAGATACTACCATGTCAAACGCAAACTTTTTTTTAGCTAGCAGAAATCTAAAGTGAAACCATAGGGCATGTATAGACCATGGCTTCATGCAAACAAAATTAGCTTCCTGAGAAACCTGGTTTGACATTTCTGTTTCATGCGTATGTGTTAAACACACCAAGTTTCTAGCCTTCTCAGCTGTAAAATACCTTTCAAACTGCAGGTAATTAATACCTGCTATAACCTTGGAATATCAGAGGGTAGACCGAATAACATTTTGAGTGATTGGGGAGAGATAAGACTTTGGAACCTTGCATAGCTACTTAGCAAAACCTAAATTATGCAAGCTAGGAAACAGTGCAATATGCAAACTAAATAAATTGTCTGATGTGCTCACTTGGCATAATTTATGCATGTCCTACAACACAGCTTCTTTGCTGAGTGCAGTTGTCTGCATGCAACTTTGAAGCGGTGTCATGGAACAGATTTGGTCCTACCTAAATTGTGGCATGCATGCCACAGAATTGGAAGCCTTGGACAAGTGTCATCAGTGCAGTCTGCGAATGAATATTGTAGAATCCACTTTTTCTCTTTGCAAGTTTCTGGTACAGCCGCTGATCACCATTGATTTACATGCAGCTGATAAGTGATTTGGCCAAGGAGCCCCAGCTCTAATGTAGTCTGAGTACTTCTTGCAGCCCTTTGGGTGGCCATTGGTGCCACCCAAAAAGGGTTATCCTCATTGGGAATAGTTGCTGTGCCTACATATTTCTATCATGGTCCTGCCACATAAATCATCACTTTCCAAAGGGAACAGGAAGCACACAAAATCCTGCCTCCAGAGAGGTAGAAAAAGAAAACAACTGATCCTTTCCAGCTCAAAGTGAGGAATCCTCCCTGTTGCTTCCTAACTAGGTATTTTGTTCATTGTTTTTGGATCACACAAGTATGCTTACCACTGGAGAAAGCACAGCTAGAAGGCAATGGTTATGGGAAAAGACTATTGTGGGTGGAATATTTTTCACCACATAGATACTTTGAAGTTGACATCAACTAATAACCTTGATCACTGCCCTTTTGTTGATTGTGTGAATTGGTTTATGTCTTGATCGATTCAAGACCCAGGGCACTACATGGTCTTCCTAGGAATTTGCCATATGTGTAATATGAGCACCACCCTCCTTGAGCTTAGCCTCATGATGAGAGGGAACTGGGGCTTGGTCTCTGAGACAGGGCTCTCTGAAGCTTTTAGGTAATACAAAGAGTGTGTGCTACTGGATCATCTGTGTTTGAGACGATATGGGGAGGTTCAAGTGTGTGTTTATTTATTTTAGAGGAAGTTGCTGTGAAAATGTATGCTCCTTGGATTTAATGCTCTGGTTATGGTTTTATCTATGTAGAATGCCAGGGGCCTATTCACAATGGGACTGAATTTTTTTTTTCAATGACCTTAAGCAAGTTTCAGGCAAAGTATTTTAAAAGCTCACTCATAAGGGCGTGGAAAGATATTTTCTTTTCCTGTCTGGGGTCACAGAAGGGGAACCCTTGATGAGGAGCGATCAGCATCTCGCTTTATGGCAGTTCCACAGAGAATTCTTAATTTACTGCCAGGGAACCTTTGGCCATTCCTGGGTGTGTGCTCTGGAAGGGGGAAGTATCCATTTAAAAATGGGTTCAGTGTTTGTGCTTCAAGAGCTTTACATTAAAGCGATTAGATTGAAAATGCTTGTTGTTAAAGCAGTTTAATTAAAGCCATTGAAAAAGTGCTCTAATTGCCTTAGTAGGAATGTATTATTTCTCTCCTCCCATGTTTAGTTGATGAAGCATATTTGCTCCTCATACACTCCAGTTTCCTTTTTTTTCTATTTAAGGTACAAATTCCTACCCACAAAGCTTTGTATTTCTCTTCCCTACCCTCAGTAGCCTTGAGTTCCTGCATTGCTTTATCTATTTTATTTTTATTTTTGTAAACCAGCTGTTTTTTAACTTCAGAGACCCCCTTCCACATCAACCTGCTTTCCAAGCAATAGGCATGTTTTTGATTTAGAACTCCTGTGCATTGCAGAGGATGCTGGGATGGGTGGGGTGTCATTCTGCACATGCTCAGTTCATGTGGAATGCCGCAGGGTTCTATGAAATGACTGGTTTACAAGGAGAAATGTCAGAAGGGAAGGGGATTTGATGTGTGTTCTGTGTCTTTTGTTGATCACATAAAACCTGTTTATGTCAACTGCTAATTGTTGCAAGATTGTGTTTTATTTAAGAGTGAATAATGTGACTGATAAAGATTTGTTTTTTTTAACTTTGTGAAAAGTGTCGTCCGCCCCCCCCCCCCGGTTATTGTGTGATCCAGGAAGTACTGTAAATTCTTTCTGGATTTTAATGAGACTTCAGAATGAATTTAATGCAGTCTTGGACTCTCTTTTTTCCTGTAGAAAAATTCTGCTCTTTTATTTGTGAGTCTAAGAGATGCTTATTAGAAAAATCTGTTGTAGAAATTTTAAAAAGAACCTTTGTTGGGTCACATTCGTCTCAGCAGAATTTCCAGACAACCTCTCTCCAAAACTTTACTCTCCCCCCCAAAAAAGCAGGAGATGGTGATCAAGTGTATTAATTGGTTAAGTTTTTAACTACCGTAGTCATGCTTTTAACCCTTTCAAATAGGCTGTGGCAACCCTATGGGGTACAATATTTCTGATGAGGCCAGAAAGGCAAGATATAAATAAAATAATAAACTGAAGCTCCTCCCCAGCTTAACAAAATCTCTGCCACCATGCTTAGTCATCCGACCCTTACTCACCAAAAGACAATCTCATAAGACTAGGTCAAGTATTTTTAAAAAGTGAGTTCATATCTACTGCATTACCAGATGTACAACTAGAAAAACTAAGAGTTGAAAAGGTAGATCTGAGCCCTTTTCTGTGTGAGATATACCACTATTTATTCTTCTGTTCTGCTTTTGCACAGAGAGTGCCTGGGGCAGTTTTACACACAGAGATAAAAAGGGTCTCTCTGCTGCTGCAAACTGCTTGTGTTCTGTGCCTGTTCTGTTCAGTTGTGCTAGACCTGATTTCCCAGGCTGGAGGAAGTACTTGACTTCTTGTGCCAGATCCAGGGAAGAATCTTAAGCACATTAATATTAAGCAAACATCAAGCGAGGCTGATGACATGTTGCATCCCAGATAGTTCAGGGGATTGAAACTAAAAAATCTTTTCGCGCATCAAAAAAGGTGCTCCTAAAGTTGATAAGGATAGAGATTTTAAACTTGCTTGTGTCGTTGTAATTGTTTATGTACTTTATTTATATCCTGCCTTTCACCCCAATGGGGACCCAAAGCGGCTTACGTTGTTCTCTTCTCCTCTGCTTTATCCTCACAACTATCCTGAGAGAGTCTGTGACTGGCCCAAGGTCACTCAGCAAGCTTCCATAGCACAAGTAGGGATCTGAACTTGTAAGGATTTCCGAAACTACCTGTGGTAGATGGCATCTTAGAAGAGGCACCCACCCCCCTTCTCCATCACTCTCACACAGGAGAGTACACTCACAGACACCTGAATGCCTGTTTTGAGATACATACATGTATCTCAAAACAGGATCTTTTTTTTCTTTATGGTGTCTGATTTTATTGATATGCAAGTGTTATGCAAATTTAATTGACTGATTAATTGTAGGTGTTCTAATGAATGGGGAGGATTGCTTATTGTCTTTCCAACACCTTTGAAATTAAGGCTACAATCCAGTTTACTTAATTGGGAGTAAGTCCTATTGATTAAGGTGGAGTTTTGAGTTGTATTTAACTTGCAAGCTTTCATAACGTGTGAATGTGCTGTTGGATCAAAGTGCCTGTATTCTGAACCTGACTACCATTCTTAAACTTCTGAGAATCCTAGCCATAGATCTTTGTTGGAAGATGAAAAAAGAAAGTATCGTAATGCTGAATTCTTGAGGCTGGGTGACCTTTGTTGGAAGATGAAAAAGGAAAGTATCATAATGCTGAACTTTTGAGGAATGAAAAAGGTTTGCAAAGCAGAGCTGTAGCAAAAATTAGGTAATAGTCTTAACTTGTTTTCTGGCAAGGCCAGAACATCAAAAGGCCATTTTTGAAGACCCTGTGAATGTGGTGTATGATGTTCCTACAGAATTCTGTTGAGCCACATGATCTTTTTAGTGCCAGAAATATAACTTGCCCCCAAGACATTTCAGAACAACCAACTTTTTTGTAGATTTATGTATTCCTTTTTTTGGTATAAACATCCCTTTTTAAAAAATCTGCACTACAATGAACTTGAAGTGAAATGGAGTTAAACTTTTATAATTGTCACTACCTCTTTTTTTCTGTAGAATTAATTTTTCCCAGTGTTATTCATTTGTATCATTGGAGATATATGTATTTCATGGTCTTGTAAAACCTGTATGTACTACTAATAACATTATTGGGTTGACAGTTTGTGTAACTGGTGGTTTGCTAATTAAAATGGTTTTATGTTAACCTGGTGGTGGTGTTTCTGCTTTGCAAACAGGTCTCATCAGCTGTTGCTAATGGGCACAGTTGGTTTTGCAAAACTCTCTCTTCCTGGCCCT